AAACTCCCGGGGAGGACCCTCTGCTCTCCAGCAAGTACGCTGCTGGCTACGTTCGAGGCCTGCAGCAGCGGGACGATGGCGATCCTGACCGGCTTAAAGTTGCTGCCTGCTGCAAACACTACACTGCTTATGATTTGGATAACTGGAAAGGCACCGATCGTTATCACTTCAATGCTGTGGTAATAGCTCACAGTCTGTAACGGTCCAGGTCCACCGCTAATAGATATTGTCTTCTATGAACTTTCTTTTGCAGGCTTTTCCTCAAAGTTTTTAAAAAGCGTCTATTAGGGAGAGGTTTCCACACCCTTAAAAAAGAGTGTTTTGTTCTCCTCCCCAACCGATGTGGGATCTCAGTGCCCATTTCTTCAATGCCCATTTCTGATGGTTTTCTGTTTTGATTGAAGGTGACGCCGCAAGATTTGGAGGATACGTTTCAACCGCCGTTCAAGAGCTGTGTGATCGATGGCAACGTGGCTAGTGTTATGTGTTCTTACAATCAAGTTAATGGCAAACCAACCTGCGCTGATCCAGACCTCCTTGCTGGGGTTATCCGAGGCCAGTGGAAATTGAACGGGTATGTTGGTTTCTTCTCCTGTTTCTTTTCTTTCGTGTCTTTCTGCTAATGTCTTCCAATAACACTGGATAACTGCAGATACATAGTTTCAGACTGCGATTCGGTCGATGTGCTTTACAATTCACAACACTACACCAAGTCGCCGGAGGAAGCTGCAGCTAAAACTATATTGGCAGGTAAATAGTATACTATCATGCCATGACTCTCTATAATGATACATTATTGTCCACTTTGAGCATAAGCTCTCACAGTTTTGCTTTTGGTTTCTCCGAAAGGTCTTATGCATTCCTTACTTATAAACTCATGATCATCCCCTTAATTAGTCGAAGTGGGATTCCTCTCCCAACAATAATCACCTTGAACAAAGTACATCATAGAGCCTCCCTTAAGGCCTATGAAGCCCTCAAACAACCTTCCCTGAATCGAGTCTCGACTTCTTTGAGCTATCAAACAAAGTACACCCTTTGTTTGACACTTGAGTCACTTTTGACTACACGTTCAAGGTTCACAACTTATTTGTTCGACATTTGAGGATTCTATTGACATGGTTAAGTTAAAAGTGACTACACCTTCGAGGGCATGTCTCTGATACTATGTTAGGAATAACGGACCCTCCACAATGATAAAATATTGTCCACTTTGAGCATAAACTCTCATGGTTTTGCTTTTAGTTTCCCCAAAAGGCCTCGTACCAATAGAAATGTATTCCTTACTTATAAATCCACGAACAGGTGGGGCTCCTCTCCCAACAATTCTCATAGAACTTGAAAAAGAATGATTCATTGAGATTGGAGACTTACCCAATCGATTTAACAGGGTTGGATCTTGACTGTGGTAATTTTCTCGGGAAACATACCGAAGCAGCAGTTAAGGCGGGGCTCGTGAACGAGGCAGCCATTGATAAAGCAGTTTCAAACAATTTTCAAACATTGATGAGGTTAGGCTTCTTTGATGGCAATCCCAGCAAGCAGCTTTATGGGATGCTTGGTCCAAAAGATGTTTGCACACCAGAGCATCAGGAGTTAGCCCGAGAAGCTGCAAGACAAGGCATAGTTCTGCTTAAAAACACCCCAAAATCTCTGCCCTTGTCTTCCTCTGCAATCAAGTCTTTGGCAGTAATTGGCCCAAATGCCAATGTCACTAAAACCATGATTGGAAACTACGAGGGTACACTATTTTTCTAAACTTTCATCTTCTAATCTACTCACTAACTTGATCAGCTCATTCAAAAACTGCACCATATTTTGAATTGCAGGCATACCTTGCAAATATACAACACCTTTACAAGGCTTATCAGCCGTAGTATCCACCACATATCAGCCGGGCTGCATCAATGTGGCTTGCAGCTCTGCCCAGCTAGATGAAGCAAAGAAGATAGCAGCATCAGCAGATGCCACAGTTCTCGTAGTAGGATCGGACCAATCGATTGAAGCCGAGAGTCGAGACAGAGTCGACCTGAATCTTCCAGGAATGCAGTCAGTTCTAATCACAGAAGTGGCCAAAGCATCAAAAGGACCTGTAATTCTCATCATAATGACTGGTGGAGGCATGGATATAACATTTGCGAAGAACAATGACAAAATTACAAGCATCTTATGGGTTGGTTTCCCTGGCGAAGCTGGGGGTGCTGCCATAGCTGATGTAATCTTTGGATCCTTTAATCCATGTAAGTCTACTTTCTCAACACTTTAATCATACTCCAACCATATAATTTGCTTACTTCAAGTGACTAACATGGATGAAACAATTAACTGTTGAGGATTGTTGGAAGGAAGTTCTACGTTGGCTAATTTAGGGAATGATCATAGGTTTATAAGTAAGGAATACATCTCCATTGGAATGAAGCCTTTTGAGGAAGTCCGAATCAAAACCATGAAAGCTTATGCTCAAAGTGGACAATATCATACCATTGTAGAGAGTCGTGATTCCTAACGTGGTATTAGAGTCACTTAACTTAGCCATGTCAATAGATTTCTTAAATGTCGAACAAAGAAGTTGTGAGCGTCGAAGGTGTAGTCAAAAGTGACTCAAGTGTCGAATAAATGATGTACTTTGTTCGAGAACTCTAGAGAAGAAGTCGAGCCAGGGGAGAGGTTGTTCGAGAACTCCATAGACCTCTGGAGAGGCTCTATGTTGTACTTTGTTCGAGAGGAGAATTGTTGGAAGGGAGTCCCACGTTGGCTAATCTAGGGAATAATCATGGGGTATAAAGACATGAGAGCTTATACTCAAAGTGGATAATATCATACTATTGTGGAGATCCGTGATTTCTAACATTAACACTGCGAATATGAAAAGAGAAAAAAATTTCAAAACTCACAGAAGCATTTTATCAAACAGGTGGTAGACTGCCCATGACTTGGTACCCACAACCATACGTAGAGAAGGTTCCAATGACGAACATGAATATGAGACCAGATCCTTCCAATGGATATCCAGGAAGAACATACAGATTCTACACAGGCGAAACAGTATATTCATTTGGGGATGGATTGAGTTACTCAGATTACAAACATCACCTGGTCAAAGCCCCAAAGCTCGTATCGATCCCCTTGGAAGAAGGCCACATTTGCCGCTCGTCAAACTGCCAATCGCTCGACGTAGTCCAAGAGCGTTGCCAAAACCTGGGAGTGGATGTTCATCTGAGAGTGAAGAACGTGGGACAGAGAAGCGGAAGCCACACAGTTTTTCTGTATTCATCACCGCCATCAATGCACAATTCACCCCAGAAATACCTTCTGGGCTTTGAAAAGGTGTCTCTGGGAGCCGGCGGAGAAACGGTAGTTCGCTTCAAAGTGGATGTTTGTAAGGATTTGAGTGTGGCCGACGAAGTCGGAAGCCGGAAAGTTTTGTTGGGCCTCCATGTTCTCCATGTAGGAACGGTGAAACACTCGTTGAACGTTAGGATTTGAATCGACGGCTATTCCTCCGCCGCCGCTCCCGGTGGCTGATTATGATTTATTTCCTTATGCATTTTGGTAGGTGGACAATCAAATTGTATAATAAGTTGAGGGAGTTGTAAGAATTTTCTCAATTCTTATTGAAGAACGAACTAAGAACGGATGGAATGGAAATTTGGTGAAAGTGGGGCTAAAATGGAGGGCAAAACTCTTACATTTTTTTTTTTTCCATTTATATATGTTACTCGACATTCTCCGAACATGTAAGTCCATTGCTATATTTTACGATGAAATTTTAAATGTTTATTTCCACACAAGAGAATATGTTAGGATGGACGAGAATCAACAACTTTAGGTTAATAGAAATCTAGGTCATTACAGGACTTAAGTGACTCACTCAAATCAATAGGGGCTATAGAGGAACGAAAGAACATAGGTGGACTTAAGTGACTCACTCAAATCAATAGGGGCTATAGAGGAACGAAAGAACATAGGTCAATAGATCAACACGATACATTCCTTAAAGAACATGTTTGAACCCTTACTTAAACATGTCAGTTTTGTTCTTCACCATAAAAAATAAAAACATCCATTCCATGGCAATTCATACAAGAACACAACTATGGAAAAGGAATCACGAGAAAGGACGACTATTTCGCTTCCTCGGTGTCGCCTGTAAAACATTCATCATGACAGCAATTGAGGGTTGAAAATCGAGATACATATGCGTAAATTACACGGGACGGTTTCCTTTGATCGCATTTGAAAATAGAGCTATCAAAGGATTCGAAACCAAACTGATCCCGAAGGTGAAAAGGACGGGACGAGACGATCATTATAGAGACTCCAAACAAACTTCGAATGAAAACCTTGGATGCAAAGAATCACATATCTGAATCAATCTCCCCAAACAAGACCAAGAACAAGCAAGCAGACCCAGAAAGAAGGCAAGAACACCAAAAGTCTCCCCCAACAAGGCAGAGTGGAAAAGATGGGACAGCAGTTGCCAAACTCATCAAGAGCATCCAAACAACGTGCCGAGCATTTTAGCACGAAATACCCCTCGACCATAAGCCAGCAAGACGTATTCGTAGATTAAGTGAGTTTATGAACAAATTTGCTTGAGCATCCCAAAGGCTTTGGGTAAATTTTAAGTTTAAAGCGCCCAATTAACAAGAAACTGTATTATGCACCCAATAAGACCATATAAACGAAGCATGCTGCCAAAAAGTTCACGACATCAATATAACACGACATAAAGGTGATAGTTCATATTAGGACAGTAAGGCTGAAAGAAGTGCAATTACCTGTAAGACAATGGGAACAACGTTCTGTCAAAGTTTCCGGGTCAGGACACAGATCTCTAGTAGCAGCTTACCGAAAGCCAGGTCCTCTCGATACCCATCGAACATCAAAAACCAGGTCTAGTTGTTATACTAAAAGAAAATTTTCTAGATGAAATGTGCAGCAGTTAATGCAATTCCCTGTGTATGTGTTCATAAGTAATCCAGCAGCTACAAGGGCACTCAAAGACCATAAAACCAGATTTGAATGAATATGTCAAGAACACATTAGATACCACACCACTGTACCATGATACCAAATTCATCACATAGGAACACAAACATCTCAATATTAACGTCAAATTCTGCTCTTCAGAACTCTGAACTGTAAGAGAGACAATCTGTAGAAAGAAACAATAACAGCAAGACCCCACCATATGAGCTTCACTTAATGTGGAAACAACACGAGTAATCAGTACGAGGCAGCTATAAGAACCAGTGAAGTTAAGATGACTACAAACCCAACAGTTAAGTCACAATTCTATCCAGAACGAGAACCACGTCGCTCATATGGCCCAGAGCGGTCACGACTATATCGATCATTTCCTGAACCTCCTCGATCACCAGTACCCCGATTGCGCCCACCAGATCTATCTCCATTTCTATCTGGACCATATCGTCCACTGCCACCACCACCACTACCATATCTGTCATCCCTACTTCCATATCTACCTCCTCTACCACCTTCACTGGGACATTCCCTGGCAAAATGTCCAGGCTTCCCGCATTTAAAGCAATCTCCACCGTTAGATCCACGTCCAGCTCCAAGATCTCGACCTCGATCACGACCACGTGGACGATCACCATCATGATCTCTACCTGAACCTTGGTTTGGCTGAGCCTTATCAACTGTAATAGTCCGGCCATCTAAATCAATTCCATTCATGCCTTTGATTGCCTCTTCCATAGCTTTTTTCTCATCAAAAGTGACAAATCCAAAACCACGAGAACGTCCAGAAAACTTGTCAACAACTACCTGTGAAATGGATGGTGCACTATCAAAATCACAGGTGACTATGGAAAATCCTAAGGAACAGAGACCTTAAGCTATCATCCAAATTATCAAATGCAACAAGCACCAACCTTGCATTTTTTCACATTTCTATCTTCAAACACGGATCAATACAAGAATGAAGAATCATTATTCAAGAAGAACAGCAAGCAATATCCATCCGCAGTAAGAAAATTGGAGGAATCGCATTCCAGAAGAAAGAATTAAGACTATAATCAGCTAAAAAAGGACGACAGAACAGTAAGCGCAAGAAAAACAAATCAGATACCTTGGCCTCGAGAAGATGGCCAAACTTTTCAAACGCATCTTTCAAACCTCTGTCAGATGTTGACCAAGAAAGGCCGCCAATAAAACAGCGATACTCCACCTCTTCCGCCATTATGCAAGCTTCATCGAAGAGCCATAGTCAAATCAATTGAATTTCCCGAAGTGGGAAGAGTGGCGAATAATTCGAAAACCCCCGAGATTAAAAAAACGCAAGTAACTCATTGAAATCCAACGGATTTAAAACAGAAGAAAATACTCAAAAACTTTCTCGATCCGAAGAATCAAAATAGCACAATTAACCTGATTAAGCAATTGGATACATATCAATTCGACACTCTCATCCAGATAAATCGAATTATCAAAATCATAAAATGTAAAGAGAGAAAAGAATTACCAGCAGAATAGAGCTAACAATTTCTGAAGAACGAAAGCCTTCCGAATTCGATTCGCTATCGAGAGAAGCTACAAGAATCAAAAAATCTAAAAGCCGAAGTGACGGTGAGATTGTTAAACGGGTTGTAGGGCGAAGAGCAAGTCATCGAATTGAAGGCCTTTCCGGGTGCATTGATTTATGAATCTTCACGGTGGGTCATTTTAGTGGGCTCCCCTTACTTTATTGGGCCTAATTGGGTCGGCCCAAATTAAATTTCTCTTGTGGTGATAAAAACGAATTATCATTTATTTAATTATCTTAAAGTCCCAAAATTATTTTACATCACTAAATATTTTCTACCAATTATGATTTAACTATAATAATAAAAATTTAATTAAAAAAAAACTAAACTTAAGTAAAGCTAAACCAAATGAATAACTTTTATTCGTATAATATTTAGTTAAAACGAGTTTTTTTTTTTTTTTTTTTTTACATACTATAGATTTTAAATATCTTTTTCAAAGAGTTCACCCTAATATTAACTCAGATATTTCTCAAGAGTCCGGATATGTTGACACATTTTCTTCTTCCACTTAGTATTTTTTTTTTAAAAAAAAAAAATACCCTTTCGTAGCTTTACGTTTGGAATGGTTCACGACCCGAGCAAAAGCAAAATGGTCTAATAAAAACATTGGCAAGAAAAAATAGACAACAAAAATCAAACAAGCCAAAGCTGAAAAGGCTCATAACTATGGAGAATTGTGAAATAAATTTAGAAATGGATCTGTTCTGATGGTTAAAGCTTTTAGCAACATAATAACTTCATTCCCAAAATCTTAGCTTATGACCTTAGAATTTTTAAATGGAGAATATGATATTATATCCACTGATAATCAAGAATACACAATACTTTGCACAATAGAGAAAATAGCCACATTCCAAGTATTTATAATTACACCCAAACTAAAACCATATACCACCACTATATAACAAGGGTCTGGCAACTAACCAGTTCGGCCGACCCGACCGTTCGAGTGGCTATCACCTTTGTAGAGTTTTCTGATTCTTCTTCTAATTCGTGCACTTCGTGGAAGCAGATATCTTGTGAGGACGACGAAGACGACGACAATGCAGCCAGATGGTGATTTCTCACACCAGCTTGCATGACGGTTATGTTGTTATTTGCATCTTTGGTGATCACATGAAGTTTCTGGGTTAACCCTGCGAGTAAATAAGGCGACTCTGAATCCGAAAAGTCATGAATGGGAATGTCTTCTGCCACGACTTTCCAGACATCGGATTGTGAATCATACACCTTAACCTTGGCATTGTCGAGAGAACTAGAAGGATCCAATGCATAGAGTTCCCCGTTGACCGTGACACTCAGTTTCGTTCCAGCTTGCCTTGCAGGCCATCCCTCGCCCATGCCCATCGGCATTTCGACCCAGGTATTCACGTCTGGGTCGTATACTTCTCCTCCAACGTCGACAAAGAAAGGCCAGCAGTATAGACTTTGAGGCACGAACAATTTGCCCTGATACGATGTTAATCCTGTTGCAATTGGCTTGAGTAGATCGGCGAGAAATGCAGTAGGCAATACCTGAGCTTTAGCAAAAGGCATGCTTGGCACTTCAGACCACGCACCAGTATTCGGATCATATACTTCAGCAGATTGTAGGGGCGATAAACCACCGTTGCCCCTCGTGACCCCTCCGACAACATAAAGCTTGTTGTTTAAAACCGTAGTTTTACAATAGGCTCTACCGATCGACATAGGGTACGCTTCGTTCCATGCATTTGCAACAGGATCGTATCGCCAGACACACCTCATTGCTGAAGCACTGGAGAACCCACCTAAAACATACAGACACCCATCGATCGCACCAACAGCACAACCACAGAACGGCATTTGATCTAAAGCGTCCTTCCTTCCGAGCCAAGCCATTATAGCATCGGCTATTCTCAAACTAGAACCTGCCATATTCCATATCCGTTGCCCGGTTAAACCCTTCCTAGATTCATCTTCTACAGAAATAGTAGGCATTGGAGGCAACTTCTGCCATCGTCTAGCCTGCGGATCCAAAGCATACCACACAAGTTTCCCATCCTTAACCTTTGTCAATATGTACAGCCACTCCTCAGCCGTTCCGAGTTCCTGTCGGAGATGGAAGAGTTGATTGCTTGTAATGGCTTGTTTCCAGGCTCGAGAGACTAACTTAAGACTCAAGTAATGTATCCTCGGAACTCTAGCTAGAATCTGGATAGATATCTCATCAGGAAGACTGGAAATCAGTCTCTGGTTTTCCTCCCAATAGTTTGACATCAATTTTTGCTTTTTGCAAGTTTCGACGGGAACAAAATCATCAGGGCCATCAACTCTAGCCCCAAAAATGTTGAGACTCAACTTAGCTCCCATCGAGAAGGTTTGGCTGATTCGGTGTACAGAAATAAAAAATCTTCTGGACTAAGCAAGACAACTACTAGCAAGACAACTACTACCATAGGCTTTCCACATCACTTCTGAAAGGCATCATAAATGGAAGGAAAGAATCACCAGCAAACTGACAAAAGACACATTAAGATAAAACACAAGAACAAGCAATTTCCAGCAGAACAAAGAAACCAAGAACTAGACCATGCTATTGATGAAAATGAATGAAGTCAACTGGAGGGAAGCGGTGAGAGAGAGAGAAGAGATGTTACACAACTTTAAAGATGTTTGAAGAATTCTGAGAAATCCTACACGAAAGATAAAATAAAACTATTCAATATGCATGCATAATAGGAAGCATAGATATCATACCATTATGAAAAAATAGAAGACATGAATATCACAAGTCAAGTAGATTGAAAATTTTATTTGTTTGCTTCAAACACATTTTCGTACCTACGAGTTGAAGAACATATATTTCGAAGTAACTGATGCTTAAGAAAAAAGATAACTCAGGAACGATACTCGCTCGTCTCATTGATATGCAAAAGCCAGGACCAAACACCTCGCCCACCCATATCATTCTTGTGCACAACCAAAACGTTGTCCTTACTACTGTCTCTCTCCTCCCTTTCTCTCTAGCAGGGTTGCCAAAGCTAGACTACCAAAAATGTAATAAGACACTCCTAATCTCAAGGACCCAACACTGGATTGTCAAAATTCCATTCTTGTCCTTCCCTATCCCATTTCCTTTAAGTTGGCTATAACCAAGAGAAATTCGATGCTAAAATCTTCATTTGCTCTCCCCTCCTATTCTTTCGTGTTCCTCTTCTCCTACCAACATTACATATATCTAACATAAACAAGTGAAAGCAATGATACAGTTATAGCAGATATATTTTCCAAAAAAATAAGAGAAATTAACCATTGAAATAATGAAAAAGACTCCAGCTCAAAAGTACAAGACACAAAAGGGAAAAAAACCTAAATAAATAAATAAACAAACAGAATCAACAGAGCTATATAGAGTTAAATACTTCCCAATTTAAACAAGTGTCTTGCAAGGAAAAAGCTAAAAAAAGCTTGGAAAGAGAGCATCATTGTGAAGCCTTTACTGCATTAGGTCTTTACTGCATAATTTCTAATGATTTTCGAAAATATGAAGATAACTTTCTAACCAAATTTCAAAAATTAAGGCCTTTACTGCATTAGGTCAGAGTAATTGAGCTTTAGGAGGCAAAGATGGGCTAAAGATGTACATGAATAGTGTTCGACTTTGAGTTATTGGAGAAAACCCAATTCAAAATACAAATTTGAAACACTGAATTCTAGCAATTATTGGCATAAGAACATTCAAAGAATAGATAATTCATGGGTTCAGCTGCTTCAAAAAATATTAGGCAAATATAACGCAGCACAGTTGAAGATGACATCTTCTTATTAAGAGAATCTGATGTATTTAAGATGCTCTTCAGCATGATCCACACAAGAATGTTTACTCCTTTGGAACTATTTGATTTTCATAGTGCTGTGTAAAACACCTTGGGCAAAGACGAAGGGTAAGCAAGCTTATTGTCACGAGACTTGACTGAAAATAATCCTGAAGAATCCAATAGAACATCTACGTGAATCATCAAAATCATCCAAAAAAACCTAATCCAAATTATCTAAAAAAGAGTTTAATTCAACAATCTCCTCATCCTTTAAATTTCTTCTTAAAAGAATCCTGGAAGATCAACAAGAAGAATTCTAAAAATCTGATACAACTCAATTTGAGTGAAGAGACCTTGAAAAGAAGAGGATAATGTTCTTTGAAAACCAAAAAGTTTAACCATTTATCACCCAAAAGAAAATTATGGCTCCTTTACCAATCTTGAAACGAGCAAAATTCTCCACCTCTTTCCAAATTTTTTAAATGTAAACCTCGGTTGGTGAACCTTGGGGAAATTGACTTAGGAAATTTAAGGACTCGCAACAAAGCCTTACGGGCTAAATGACTCTGGCTGTTCCCCCTTGAGTCTACTAACACTTGGCGTAGAATCACTATGAGTAAATACGACCCTTGTCCTTTTTAATAGAATTCGTTGGGGTAAAGGCACTTGTAGAAATCCTTGAAAAGACATTGCCAACCAGCTTCCTTCCTTTCCTGATTTGAATAAGTGATATGTGGGAGATGAGATGGAAATCTACTTTTGAGAGGATAAATGGGTAGGGGATAAACCCCTCTCCCCTAAGTTTCACCATTTAAATCCTTTGTCCTCTATAAACAATTTCCCAGGGTTGACGTTCTTGATTCAAATGGGAGCTCTCCCTCTTTTTCGATTGGCTTCTGTCATCCACTATCCAATAGGGGGAAAAAAATGGATGTCTTGGCTCTGTTATCTTAGAATGAGGAGTTTGAGCTTAGGCCAAGGAGACAGGGTATCCACTCTTGGACCCACCAAGGGTCTTTTCTTGTAGTTCGTTCTTTCAACACTTGTTGTTTCCCTCCGCATCTAATAGGTCTGTTTTTTCATCTCTATAGAAGGTGAGAATTTCAAAGAGCGTTCAATTCTTTGTTTGCCAGGTCATCCATAAAAGAGTTAACACTTTAGATAGGCTTTTGAGAAAGATGTGTTCTCTGCTAGACAAATTAAATGCATTCTTTGTTGGAGGAGAAAGGAAGATCGTGATCATACTCCTTGGAACTGCAACTTTACTCGAACTATCTGAAGTTTCTTTTTTGACACGTTTGGCTTTCAGTTTGCTAGGAACAGAAGCTATAGAGAGATGATCGAGGAGTTCCTTCTCCATCTACCTTTTCAAGAGAAGTAAATTTTTTTTGTGACACACAGGAATTTGGGTTGTGTTGTGGGGGTAGTAAGGTGAGAGGAATAATAAGACCTTTAGAGGGATGGAGAGAGATCCTAACCATGTTCGGTATCTTGTTAGGTTCAATGTTTCTCTTCGACCACGAGCATGAAGGCTTTTTATAATTACTTTTTAGGTCTTATTGTATTTGAATTGGATTCATTCATTATGTTTTTATGAAAGTTCGGTTTATTATCCAGAAAGTAAAGCATCCTCTCTTGAGAAACCCACAGTGACACTAATCAACTTCCTTCCACCAAATATTGGCCACACAATACAATCAAGAGGAAATCCAATGCTTATGGATTCTAGTAGTTCCAAAATCGTCTCTATCTCGCTTGGAGAAGAACAGAGATTCAGAAGATTTCAACAACTCAACCAAATGAAATAAACAGAGAGGAATGGCTGACTAAAATTACACATCTTCCACATAAAATCGCTCATTCTTGCACCAAATGCAGTAATATTTCTTATCAATGCAAGAGCTACAAGCCTCCATGATAAAAATGAATAACCAAACTAGAATGGGCATAATCCACAAATTGTTTTGATAATTACTCCATTCATTTGTACTGATCGCATGCTTATATGGAATAAAATGACATAAATTCACACGAGAAAAAACCACAAACAAAATTGGAAAATGTATTTAGAGACAAATAAATAAAACACGGAGGAAATCAAGAAAACGGGGAAATTTCCACCTTAACCTACATGGTCACAAACTCAATTCAGCTATTAGCTATGTAATTGAATGCCAAAAACAATCAAAGGAACCTAAGAAAAGCCCCCAAATCCCAAAAATTTATCAAAATCCCATAATAAAAACGAGAAACCCCTGAATTCAAAAAATCGAACAGAATCCCAAAATCTGCCGCATCGATCGATCTCATTCAAACAAGGAAAATCAAAAGAACAGAAAAAGGGAAAAGAAAAACGAAAATCAATTACCAAGAATGAATTGGAAGACGAAGAAGAAGTGGTGGTCAAAATTGGATTGTGATAAAATCCGATGCTCTCTCTTTCACCGTCTGTGAAGTGAGGCGGATGTGTGTGTGAACAGCCGAGATCATCACCAACCATAGGCGGATCAGCTGCAACGCGCTCCATTGTTGAGAAGAATCTGAGCCGTTGAGCGAAGAGCATCCCACCAAAGCCCGATATCTTCGCCTCGTCGCCTCACGTTTTCAATATGACGTCACCTTTAGCGTGGCTTATTCAAGACGTTACTCAATAATATATATATATATATATAAATTGAAAAATTCTATAAACTCTTAGCTTTAAATAAATAAAAACTTAAAAACTAAATTAACAATTTCTATTTATTATAAATTTTAAAATATACATTATTATTATTATTATTATTTATTTATTTATTTATTTTTACCCTAAAAATAATTTTTTAATTATTTAAAAGGTAATTTTCAAAAGTTCTATGTTTTAAAAAAAAACGTTTAAAAAACAAAATAGTTCTTTAATTTAAAAAAAATGGAATAAATGACTAGAATAACCCGAAAGTTTATTGGCAAATAGTTCTTTATCATGCTCAAAGATGAGCCGATCGTTCGTTAGAGACGGTTTATAGATCAACAAATTACCACAAATGGAATGAGAAGTAGGTCCATGTAAATAGTCGATATCTCGCAAACAACAACTCTCCTTCCCCATATGGTGTTCAGAATCCAAAGGCAATCGTTGAGTGAACTATATCTTCTTTATGTTAGTTGACCTAATTCGCACCATTACTGCTTGGGTGGGACTCGGCCTCCGAACCGTACGTGAGACGAGTTTCTGCCTCATATAGCTCGCCCCGAAGATCAGGGAAATTTTAGGAGAGATGGAGAAACCCAGCAACTGTTGGTCGAGGAAAACCAATCCTATAACTCTCACACTTCTCGTTCTTTCTATTATCCCATTTTCTTTCGGGATAGATGGCTAATACTAATCTAATAAGTTCAGTTGTTGTCGTCTGACCAATTGGCTCGAACACCAGACCGCTTGTGCCCACCCACATAACCACACGAGCTCACCCTAAATGGAATGACTCTCTTAGTTACGCTGTGCCCTGACCCGAGTCCCCATGTTCGCTCTTCTCCACCCGCAACCCAAGCAGTTGGCAAACACCAACTAAAAAAGTTTACGGTTAGGTTTGTTATTTAATAAGAATTGTTTAGCTATGACTCGATCATCAACTGAGTTATGTTTAAAAAATGTCTCAACCCAACATATTTCAGTCTATCAACGCTTTTAATTTTATTTATAATTTTAAAAATGATTTATTCATTTTTTTTTTTTTAATTTGAAATTAGTATTTCATCCTTTCCTACCTTTGTTTCGTAATTTTCTTTTTATTTATATAGAAAATAGATAATTTCAATAAATATTTGCATAATTTGTTTTAAATATTAGAAAACCATGTGAAAGTAAAACACGTCCCCATACTTAAAATATTACATACTGTTTCTAGAAGGTGAATAAAATAAAGATAACGTAGCAATTAAAAATGTGATTTTTAATTAAAACAAATGGAAAATAAATCTCTCTCGTCCTACTTTCTTTCGTTGTCAGACCTGAAGATTCGACCTTCAAACTGATCTGATTTTCAACTTTTGTTTCCTGAAATAAGTCCATACATTTCTGCTAAAATCATCAATGAAGGTGTTATAGAACTTTGATCCGCCCGGTGATAGAACTGGAGATGGTCCCTAAACATTTGTATGGACTATTTCCAACCGTACTTTCTTCGATTCTCTAACAACCTTTGTGTACCTAACTAATTTCTGCTTGCTTGTCTGCCCATAATGCAGCTCTCACAAGAACTCATGTCAAAATATTTGAGGTCTTCTAAAACTTCTTTCGCAATCAGGATGTTCATTATTTTGACAGTCATATGTCCAAGTCTATTGTATCATAGACTTGAACGGGAAGCATTCTGTGAGATCCTGTATCAATTTGGGGAAGGGAAAGCATTCCTTATAGGGGTTTAGAAACCTCTCCTTAATAGACGTGTTTTAAAACATCAATATGTAATGGACTAAAATAGACAATATTGGCAAGTTATGAGTTTGAGCTGTTACACACTCTCAACAACAATAGCTTTTTTCTAGAGTACATTCGAGTCACAGATATGACTAAATTAAGATAAGGTTATAAAAGTCGGAGAGGTCGGCTTCTCTCATGGATATATGTAGCCCAATATGTATATGTCACTCCATCTCTGTAACGACCTAAGCCCACCGCTAACAGATATTGTTCTTTTTTTACTTTTCTTTTCGAGTTTTCCCTCGTCTGCTAGGGAGATGTTTCCACACCCTTATAAAGGGTGTTTCGTTCTCCTCCCTAACCGATGTGGGATATCACAATCTCCAAGCAGTATGCCAAACAACTTGACTGTTCTAACATTGTTGTAAACTTTCTACCTAGACCTGAGACGAAAGGTCGATAACCCTCGAGAAATGTTAATCCTTGCTTCAATTTGAACCCGAAAACGCCCTCTAATTTTATACGTGTGTGGTCCAACCAATCACCATCTAAGCCCAAGAAAAAAGAAAGCACTAGAGAGCAATGTGCCATTTCTGCCACTCTCCCTGATCGCCATTAACCTCTGAAAGAGACAACTTCAACAAATTCATATTATAAAACAGCCTCTACCCTCATTCTTCAAACTCCACCATTAACCATGAAGAAACTAGGTGGATTCATGTGCCATTCTCCGGCTGCCACCGCAGTCTGCATCCCCGCCGATCCTCGGTCCGCAGTCGTGTCAACAAGCCTGGCTAGAGCCAACAACCTTAAGAATGTCAATGGCATCCGTGTGAGGTTGGTAAACAATGCTGTGAAGTACTCCAAGCTTGGCAAGTCTCCGAGCGCAGGAACGACGAACGACGTGAAGAAGCCGGTGGCACTTATGCTTTCTTCGCCACCGCCCCCACCGGAGAATGTCTTCCATGTGGTGGTTATGAAGGTGGCGCTTCACTGCCAAGGCTGTGCTAGTAAAGTTAAGAGGCATCTCACCAAAATGGAAGGTAGAAAATCATATTTATAAACCTTCATTTCAAAAAAAGAATATATATATATATATATATATATATATATATATATATTGATTTTTCCTTAATTTTGACCATAGATATATTGATGAATATATTTTAATTTTTGATTAGTATAAATAAAGTTTTTTTAAAAAAATAAAAAAAATGGTAATATTATTACTTCTTATTTAATAATTTTGCCCTTGAATTTTACTTATTTATTAACTTTTGATGGAAGATCTATATTTAAATATTTTAAATAAAATATTATTATTTTAATTATATAATTACAAGTAAAAGTTTATTTTTTGCATTATTGAAAAAGGTTTGACAAATTTTATTATTAGAACTTAAAAGAAAATTTGTTCGATAATTATTAAATTTTTAATTCGGTTTCAAAAAATTAAGCTTAAAAATATTAATTTACTTTATATATATATATATATATATTCGCTTTTATACCAATATTTTGAAAATTAAGAAAAATTTATTTGGAATTTGATTAAAAAATTAAAATTATAGTAAAAAATAGAAAAGAAATAAACCAATATTTAAAGGATAAAAGGGCTAAAAAAGGAAATTTAAGGAAGAAAATGACATTTATTATTATTATTATTATTTACTAAAATTGTAATTGACAGGAGTGACGTCATTCAGCATAGATCTAGAGGCCAAGAAAGTGACTGTGATGGGACATATTTCACCGCTGGGTGTTTTGGAGAGTCTTTCTAAGGTGAAAAGAGCTGAGTTGTGGCTGTGACAGTCTGTGACTGTGAGGGAAAATATCAATGAAATTACCAAAATGGACACCAAAAGGAAGAAAGTGTATGAAATTTGTAAGGCACTCAGGAGGAGTTATGTGTAAATTTATCGTTTTGTTGGACAAATTAGTAATTTTAATATTTATTGGTGGTCCTAAATTCTAGTGGGTGGTGATGTTAATTGGTTTTCTTATAATGATAGTGATATTTTTATTTTAAAAAATTATTATATCAAATTTATAATTAATTAATTTAATGATAATAATACTCATTTTACAAATACTTGTAATTATTATTTGATTATTAATTATTTAATTTTTATCATTTGAATTGTATTCATTTAAGGTATGGATGACTAATTCCATAAATTAAATATCAATAAAATTTGTTTTCATACAAAATTAATAACATTTTCATATAATAATGTTTTATTTCTATCGTATTTATAAAATAAACTTATAAAAGGAAGTAAAAACAACAAAACTTGGAATTATTCGAACTTGCTATGATCAATCTTACTGCAGTGAAATCTCAAATAATTTTTTTTTTTACGTTAGATATTTGATCAACAAGATGATTCATTGGGTGGTTTCTTAGCGTTTTGACGTTTTTAGATATTTTAAATCAAAAAAATCTTATTGTTAAAATTGTTAGATCGAATTTCCCAGAGTTATAATAATTTAGGATGAAATTATCTTGATTTTGGAGTTTTAAGATTTGTGATTTAGGGATTTGCATATCACGTCGAGTTCTCATATCCGATTGGTTAGAGTTTTCATATCACAACCAATCTATATTTTAAGCCTCAATCTATAGTGAACTCGAGTTCGAATACAGCAACAACCCTAGATTTCTACTAACCTATAGTCGCTAAAGTCTCATTTTTATTCGTAATGTTCGACTCAAGTCTATATTATATTCACGAACTGCTAAGATATCTGATAACATAAACTCTTTAGTGAAATTGGGTTTAGGCCTATTATAAATAACCTGTAGACTTTGGTATGATGACATGAGTGTCCAGGCTATTCATATCGGGTTTCATTCTCGAACAAAATATGTCGAAATGGATGTTCTATGTTCGTGATCAAGTCCTTCACGAACTTCTCCAAGTTGGCTATGTGCCATCTTTTGAGCAACTTGAATAGCTATTCTCCATTGCTGCAGTCATGATCAAGATGGCATGGAAGTTGAAATGGAAGAAAATGGGAAAGAAATTGCTATTAAACTCAAGCAGTCCAAAGGTTTCATATGACATAGATAGATATTAATCCACATAGCAAATATTAGGTAAAAATATAGTTTGGACACAACACAAACATAAACA